GAGGATGTCCTGTCATTGAGAGGTAGGAAGGAGATAAAAAAGAAATAACTCAGTGACAGGTTGGACACTTCTAAATCTCTATGAATTTAATATGTCTAAAGCTTATGTGTATCTGAGGTCAAGGTTCCCACTTGGTAGGATTTCTACCTCTGCTTGTGTTGTTTTGTGCATTGCTTTGAGCTACATATCCTGGATGGGTACCACAGTGAGCAGAAATGTGCAATTCTGGTAGATGTCACAGGCACTCCTTTGGCTTCTGAAAACAGACCATCAGCATGGTGCTCCAGACAAATACCCACCAGAAATTTCTTTCCTCTGACAGTGTAACCCAGAGACTATTACGCAAACTGGACTTTGTAACACAGACACTCCTAATGAAAAGTTTTTATATCCAACTCACTTCCTAGTTTACAAAATCCCTTATCAAAAAGCATTCTAAATTGGAATTAGTTAACGATCTAAGTCTTTAATGCGCAGGGACTGGGTAAGTAGACTTCTTAATTACAGCAACAGAAGCTTGGTTTCTATTCTCAGCGCATCTGGATAATGCAGTTATACTCTTGATGTGTCCTATTTTTGCCCTGGCAGAGCCAGATCCTTGGAAATTGGGGTGGGCAAATTGAAGCCCTCTCGTTTGGTCTCCTTCTGGATGGATAAAGTGCAGCTTTTGCAGAAGCAAAAAAATGACCAATGTAATTCTTCTTCTGCTTAGGCCAATCAGATTGGACTACATTTAAAACATAAAATTAGTAAAAGGTAAGAAAACATCATAGGAAATTTGAGATCTTTTTATTTCTTGTTCAATGAGTTTCAATACACAGCGCTCATTAAAAGTGAACCAGGTTGGATCACTGAGACTATCTTGGGGAAGAAGCAAGGGTCTCTTGTCAGAGCATTTGTGCTGCAGATTGGTTTTGGCAGAAGTTTATTTTGAAAATGGGAAAGTTTGGTGCCTTCTTTTCTGCCAATATGAGCAATGTCTACGTGAATATTTTTCAGAGAGGAACACTAAGTGCTAGGAATCACTTTTCCAACAATCTCTCTTTGCCTAAAACTTGAATTATTTGATCTGAACTACTGTAAATTTTTATGCCATGGCATATCTTCGTGGTATTGTCTGATTGATAACTTTTGGCTACCTCCACTATTCTAAAACTTAAAACAGTTCAGTAACAAAGCACTGATTTCTTTGTAATAAAACAGCTAATAAGTTAAATTAAGGGCCCAATTCTTTAACTTGCTCAACTGTTCAGTTTAAAATGCGTAATTGTCACACTTGCTTCGGCAGCGCATCTACTAAAATGTGTAATTGTCTAGCAAAAGGTTAAAAAAAAGTGGGATAAAGTTAAACACTTCAAAAAATTGAGATCAATTCTCAGGCATTTATTTTAATCATGTCTGACTCATGCAGCAATATTATTTGTATAAAAATTAGTAATAATCCACTTAGATTAGTTCACATTTATGATCATCTATGAAAAAATCATAAAACTCATGTAGCATAGAACAAACAGAATCTTTCATTTTTACTAAAGCTGAATTTTATCAAAGTAGATTTAAGGCAAGACGGTATTTTCTTGGCAAGAAAAATCTGGAAAGCAATAATAACTGAAACTTTGCATCATTACATTCATTTCTGGTCAAGCTGCCTTATCACAAATTTAACTTTCATGCTGGGAAACTGCTCTTTCCTTGGTACCTTTTCTGCCAGAATTCAACTCTAACAACAAAAGTTTATAAACAATGAAAATTCCAGCTGGTTGACATCAGCGTCACAAAGTTTTCTCTTCACCCTGATACAAATATTTACTCTGAGCTCTGGCAAAGCTTTCCTTACCCATGTCACCCTTAATCATACATTTTTCCTTGATTGAGTTATGCTTTCCAGTACGTGATTTGCTCTGGTTTACTTTTTAACACATCCCAGAGGCTTCATCAAAATCAGCTCTGGGCAGGCCATGTCATTTGGTAGCTGCCAAACATGATATTGAGAAGGAACTTGGCAAATATCACAACAGTCTTCTAACTGCTCTAATAAATGTGTTTGTTCTTGTTGACCACCATTTACTTTTTCGGTCCCTCATATCCATAAAGCAGTGAGCCAAGAAAGTAAGCAGAGATGCACTCAATTCCCTTTAATATATTCCCTCGAGGTCATGTGCTGCTCTCTCTGCCAGGCACCTTAGTGCAAAGAAGTTGAAAACTTAAAAGGTTTCATCAACGACTGTTTCCTTCAAGAAGATACAAGGGTGATTTTCAAAAGGTTAAAACAACAGATTGATGTACTCTGTTACTGTAGCAAAGTCTGCTAGAACAAATATTTGCCACACCAAAGTGACTTGTGGAGGGATTAGCACAAAATATTGCAAATATTTCTACAAAGCTTCCCTTGCCAAAATAAAACGTTGGGTTCTGTGCTGTGGGTGCTTGTAAAGTCACTGTGAAGTGCTCTAAGAGTCCAGAATGTAGTAGAGTTTTCTCTCAATACTGCAATACTGCTTACACAAGTAATAATGCCCTACCTAAAAGAAAGATAATGATTTCAATTTCTTCAGTTAATACTTATATCACATCTTTGTCTTAGAAAAATTTGGCAAGTTTTTAAAAAGACCATTTGTGAACCACATGTCACTGTGTCACCTTCTTTTGAAAATAATATGTAGTAAGCCTTGAAGGATAAAATATTTTTCTTTTACCTTCACCAATTTAAAAATAAATCTCAAAAATGAGATGGAATGATGATTTCTGTTATTATTATTGTTGTTTTACCCTCAGTCCTCAGGGAATGTATATCCAGGCACACACACACACACACACACACACACACACACCTCTCTACTTTAATTAGAAACTTTTACTCTTTTCCTTTGCTAAACTGCAGGTTCATCTGTCTGGAGGTGTGTATTTTTCTGAGCATATTGAAAATGCAGTGATTTGTGACAAATCATACCTACTGTGACCATTAATAAATAAACATATCTGAAGACCATGATAAATAATTATTATAAACTAAGGTGTGACTCACATATTTGAGAACTTGGAAGTTGCTAGTATTCTCCTCAGTTTCATGGTAGGAGTCATAGCAATTTCTTGCTTGTGGAAGCTTATTATTATTCATTTGTATCACAGAGAGTCCATTTAATGTAGAAAACTGACAAGAGTCATCTATAAGTAGGCATGAAGGAGTTAGAGCAATTTCCAAAATTTCCACCTAGCTCCATTTAGAATAAAGCAAGAAAAGAAAAACTGTGCCAATCATGACTGAAAAGACTAATTTCAGCCAGTGAAAAGTAGAAATTGTTATTCTTACTTTATCAGCCATAGGAAGAAGACTAGAGCAGTGTCACTAGCTTCTTCAAGGTAGTTTAAATAAGGAATAAAGATTAAGATTTGAATTCAGTTGGGCTTGACAAATACAGCCATGGTCTTCTTGTCACAGGCTGTGCCCCACTGATGTAACCTAGTGACCTAACTCAGCCACATGCATACAACCCCTTAACTTGCCTAAGGCACTGGGACATTTAATTTGGATGGATATCCAAATAGGGGTTAACCTCATATATCTGTGGGGATCATTATGATGTTTAATTTGTGAGGATTTACTTGGAAATCAAATTTTAAAGTAGTATGCTTGCTTTGTACTTACCTAACGCATTATGTATTTGCATAAAATTTCACTTTAATATTTGTTTTCACCCCCAAAAAACCAATGTATTAAATCAAAGATTGTTATGCCTCAGTTCTTTGAGTGTGTTAGAAAAATTTGAGAAATATTTATTTACACCATAATTTTCACAAGGTTGTAAGTTTTGCATGTCATCCAAGAATAATCAAGACCTGTCATGTAGAGGTACAAGATCCCAACAATGAATGTAACTGTACTGTATCCCTGAAATGTACCAATAAATTCAATTAAAGCTAAAAAAAAAAATCATAGTCACAGAGGACACTAGTACCTAAGGTAAATTTGGTTAATGCCCAAATTTCCAAATAGTAAGAAGACATAATTTATGGATTATATACATTTCTACTTCAATTAATACAAGAGATCCACCTCTGAAAATAATGTGTATGAGTTTGTTTTCTTCTGTACCCATTTGATTGCTTGGTAGATATGAACATGGACCATAGCAGGCATATTAATAATTCAAAGAGCAGTTTTCTATCCTTTTGGACTTTTATAGATTATATGCAATATAGAATGATGGGATAGTAGTTCACTGAATTTTAATCTAGTTATCTATTGTAAGGAGGAAAATCTTCTTTCTGTTGTTTCAGTTATTTTCAGAATTATTCATGGCAATCTTTATATCTTGAGAATATATCTAGTTATATCAATTTAATTAGAATTTCCAGGAGCAGGGAGCAGAAACCCGTACTGTAAAATCATGCCAAAGAGTCTTAAATAGTCAGTCAGATGGGAAACCACTGACTTAGCCTGTTTTATTTTATGATGTTAAAGGCTTATCCTTTCCAAAGACGCTATTACAATGTTGTATAAAGTTTTCTAATTGTTTTGGGCAATACATCTTAGGCCAAACTGAATGATGATGCTTTCCAGACCCAGAATGAAGTAGTGAGACTAGGGGGAGCTATGTGAGCTGCTGGTCTCCAGCGGGGTACATTGGCCAATTAGTGTGGCCTGCCTGGTGTCTGTACTTCAGCTCTTACCCATCCTTACGTGAAGAGATCACACTCTTTTTCATTTCTCCAGCCTTTAGCACAGGGCCTGGCACATTTTGAATATTTATCACCACTCGTGTGTTGCTTTGAATTAATAAGGGCTCCATTCAAGTTTAATGGTAAGTAATTCTCATCAGCAACCTAGATTTTGTGTTTTAAAGAATTTAACCTAATTGCCCCTTAATTTTTAGAGATTAACTTATCTCTTTTTTTCCTAAGCTTTCTTGGGAGCACTTGCTTTCTTCTCCTACCTGTACTTTTGATATCTCCCTGTAGTTCCATTTCTCAAAGATTCCCTTCTTGATCTTCTCTCACAGGCATAGCCAATCGATCATCCATCCTCTTTCCAACTTCCCAGAAGACTGATTCCTTAGAGCATAACAGCTCTCCTGATGCTGCTCCTAGACCGTGACCCATGCTGGCAAAGCTTCTGCTCCCATGTGGCTGAATGTTTCATAAGGAGAGCTACTAAAATGCAGAGAAGCACAAAGTCTTAATTGCTTGCTAGTGGGCACTCAGCCAACATACTGTTAGCAGAATGAAACTCAATCTCAAAGAAAATGTGCTGAACCCCTGCTCTGGATCACCCAAGGCCCATATGGATTGCATGTGTTTTGGAGGTAGATTTGAGCAAGTTGATCTTTTTACCCCCTCTTTTGAGTGGAAATACCAATCTATGGGTTGATAGAATTTAATTCTTAATGTAATAATCCTGGCTGTGAGAGTTTTAAGAAAGAAACTCTGCTTATGTTACGACATGGAATGACAATACATTTCTTATTTGGGGGGTTTCTCACAAACATTAATTTTGATGCCATTTCAAAAAGTATTACCTTAAAGAATTGCTACACAGGTATTTTGAGATTACCACTTCCTTGTTCTCTGTGTAAACTATTTGGGCTTTGCTAATTAAGTACTCTAAGCTTCAATTTTCTTTATAATGGGAAAATAATATTACCTTCCTGATCAGTTTGTGAAGCCTCAATATTATTAAAAGCTCTTGAGAGTGTCTGTGTGACATAACAAAAATATATAATAAATGTATGCTCTTAATTTTATTGTTAAAAGTAATAGCCTAATCTCTTTCTCACAGTGAAAGTGTCTTAATATACAGATTAAAATATGTGACAATTTTGGTAGTTGGGTAATTCAAAATTTTCTTATTAAGCAATCATCCTAAGGACTATAATCCAATATTTTTCTAGAGTAAAATATAGGGAAATGTCAGTCTGTAGACTTCTATTTTATATTTTAATAATATGTCACAAGACTTCAAAATAGAAGTTGTGGATCCTCCTTTAAATATTAGAATAATGAAAACTGTTAGTCTGTTGTACAGGATGAAAATAGAATAGAAAAGGAATCTCATTTGGTCTTCCAGTACTGCAACAAGTTTAACATTGAAATTAATCATTAAAATTAAAATGTTGATAAGTTGCATTTCACTATTAATAATATTCATTCATCAAAGCTTTTAATAATATTTATCACCCATCTGTTTGTCAGACAATGTTCCCAATAATATGAGGCTGCAACCATTTCTACTAAAGTCCTTTTCTCTTTTCTCTTTAGAGGTTCACCATGTCATGTAAATGGGATACCCAGTGGTTCACCGTAGTATCTTAAAATACCACAAAGACCATGAAGATTACACTTTTCTGGGTACACATATTTAATTTGCTATAATAATGAATTAAAATATCTAAGAAGGCATAGTAGTAGTTTCTGTAATCAACTTCTATAATATTAATATATTAGTTGATGAAGTCGGTTTTAGCACAGAAAGATCTCATCCCAGAGTTCCCAATAGAATCATGGACTCAATATGCATCAGTACTATATCCAATATTAAAAATTACCTTTGTCATTCTGTTGGTAGGCAATAAGAGCTGGACTTGATAAGAAAGATATCATCCACATGATAATTTGATATCTTTAAAAATCAGGGTAGGCCATTTAAATCGCTAAATTCAATAAAATGTCATTAAAGTTTTCTCATTCCCTTTCTCCCAAACCAATTCCAAACCCAGGAAAGGGTTGCCATGAAAGCCTGGTAGTACATCTTGGTTTACAATGAATCACACACGAGTTCATTTATTTAAGAGATAATTATGATTAATTGATGCTAAGTTATAATACCATTGATGGAAATTTTAATAATAATATAAACTTAAGATTTGAAGTTGTCCTTTAGAATAGAAAGCTAACACTTTATCCACTAAGCAACTAGCTACCAATTGATGAAATTATAAAAATTAACTTCAGGATGAGTCTTCTTTTGTTTTCTGTGTATAAGGAGTTTTTGAGAACTACCAAATAAAGAAAAGTGAAAATTTAAAGTAAAATCAGAGATTGGCCGAGCGACCTGTATATCTATCTCTCATTAAAATGTAAATTTATGTGAGGTGCTAATGTTTTTTTTACTCAAAAAAATATTCTCTTTTCTAGGTAATCTCAGGCCCTTGCACTTGCAAGGCAGGCACCAGAACCACTGAGCTAAATCCCTGGCCCTTCGCTTGAGATTTTACATGTATAGTTCAAGAAAAGACTTCTTAATAAATATGTCAGCTATTCAGAATTATTGCTGTAAATAGAAATACAAGATGGTAGATAGGTATTTGACATCCATTAAATATTTTTCTTAAGAAAAAACAGGATATATGCAGAAAATTACTGTAATACTAAAATTACAATTACTATTGTTAAACATTCACTTTCTGAAATAAAGGTAACATTTTGCCTCTACTTATTTATTATATATTATGCAACATTTAGCAAAGTAACTTCTATTTAGCCGTTTGTAAATATACATAAATGAAAAATTTGATCTTTACAAATATTTGTTGGATGTTTGTAACATTACATACTGTGCAATATACAGAATACAAGGTTAGGTATGATAAAGACTATTTTTTGCCATTGTGTACTTTTAGTGCTCATCGACATTTCAGCATCAATACTGGATGACAGAAGCTATTTTTCCTGGTATTACTTAGAATCCTTAACAGAAGACACTTCACAGCTAGCTATGAAATGTTAATTTAGCTTTACAGTGATAACCCTAAAGTAAATAAAATGCTCTGAAATCCCTTTTAAATTATCAAAGAAAAATATTAAGTAGTATGATAAAAATGTAGGAATGAGTATATTTTATTATAATCCTCTAATTTGAAAATTGATAATTTATGTATATAGATATATAGATAGATAGATAGATAGATTATAGATATAGTTGCTCTCTGCAAAGCTGAACACTTGATTAGCTAAAATGATGAATCCCTGACTACCCCTAAGGACAGAACTGACAGTCTTAGTGTGATGATTAGACCCACTGGTGGACACTTACAATGATGCAGAAGCAGAGATTCTCACTTCTTTTCCATTTCATACTATATTCAAGTCATGCTTATGATCAGTGATGTGGTAAATAATCTTGTCCCCTTCTTCCTTCCAACTACCCAATTTCCTGGAAACAGCCTCTTTACTCCCAAAGCATAAGAATGAGAACAACAACTGTAAAATCCACTGAGTCTAAGAGAGAGCTGCTTTTGTCATGAAGCAGTCCTCAGTTATTTTTCTTAATATTGAACAAGAATTAGCCTGGGACTCCAGGTCTGCAGGATCCAATGGCTCAATGAGGGTTCCCAGGGCTTGAGGTGCTCCCTTTAAAGATGACTCCTTGCATTCTTTGAGCTTTAATGATTCCCATCTTATTTCTTTTTTGTCTCCATTAAATATATGATGTAATAATGCAGATCTCAAATGCTTACCTACAGTAGCCATGAATACAAAGTACAAATAGTCAACAAACAATAAATGAAGCAGAATGAAAAGAAAAATACATCCCTTGTATCTGATCACTAACAAAAAATCCAATATTGATGAAGAAAAGTAATAAAATATAATTAGTTTAAAGGCTGTACACACACACACACACACACACACACACACAGAAGAGTTTATCCACATTAGGAAACACTTTTGATTGTCACAAACCTAAGGGTTCAAGTAGAGGCCATAGATGTTTCTACATATCCTACACTGAGCAAGATGCCTCCAATAAGAAGCAATTGTCCAACACAGAAGATAAGAGTATGAAGATTGAGAAGCTTTCCTTTATATCAAAGGAAACTTGGCTAAATTCCACTTAATGTAACATTGTCTATTCTCTGTGTAAATTATTTATCTATTAAATTTAGGTGAATATGTAAATAATAAATATAATTCTTCAAAATGAAAGAAACGTATTTGGTACTTATTTTTAATGTCATATTGCTGTGCCCAAGAGCACACAAATACACCTGAAACAGTTGCTCAGTGTTCTCCATTGTCAGCCTTCCACCACAGATGCCCCATCGGGTGGGGTCTGATATGGATAATGATGGTGGAGTGTTCTTGCTGTCTTGACTGTAGTCATTATGGTGATGTTATTTTAAGACTAAGTAGTGTTTGCCTATTGGACCATAAAAGTGTGTCATGTAAATATAGGTTGTAGAACACACAATAGTCTGTCCATGTGTAGAAAGAAATATGCAGAAAGAAATCCTCATAAAGTGTCTTTTACTAGTATCTGTCGGGTATGTGAAGTAATTTCTTTTCCAAGTTAAATCACTTGGAAAAGAAAAAGATTCTCTATTCAAAGACTCCGTAAGTAATTATAGTGCATTATGCATCATTCATATATCAATGTAAATTTTGTTGTTAAATGGAAGGAGGTTTTGGATGACATGGTTGCAAGCAAATGTCCAACATTAACGGAACCTTTTATTTATTTATTTACTCTCACCTGAGTTGCTCTTCAAAACTGAACTGAGGGTAGAGGATCAGTTTTTGTATAGCCAACAACCTCATATTTGATAATTTAGCCTAGAATTAAACTCTGAACACCAAAATATCTCATAGAAAATAAATTTCATATGAAACCAATCTCACAAAAGACATCCTCAACCGTGGAGCTATGTTTCTTAGAGTATATTATATTTATATTGACGGAAAGAAAATAAAATGAGAACTGTTAAGGCCAAAACAAGATTAAAAATCTGTAAGTTGAGTCATACCAAGAGGTATGTAATTACACTATGACATGTTTGAAATCTATGTTTCATTGACCCCTTTCCCACTCCTTTCCTAGAATAGTGATGAACATTTTCCCATTGAGGCCAATTTTTTAAGAAGGGGACAGTTAGAAAGTAGAATTTATAGCTATCTATAATGAAACTGTCCAAACTAGACAAAGGGACTTGATGTTGCACAGAACAATTAGAGTTATTAAAATGGTGGGTGGCCTGTAGACTGTCAGAGGCTTCCAAAAACAAATCATTTTGACAGTCTGAGTAGAAATGAAGTTTATGTGCCTAGTGGAATTCCCACACATTTTAAGATTTAGAAAGAACTCTAGAGAATTTTGAAATGTTATTTTTCAAAAATAAATTGGCCAAATATTCTTAGATGTCCATTAAGCTCAGATGTTACTTTATTTCAATATTTGAAGAAATGTATATGGAAATGTATATGGAATAAATTTTACATAGGTATTTCCACTTTTCCTTTTTAAAAATTTTCATCATCATTGAAGAAGACAGTTAAATCCATTCTAGTGAGTCAGTTTAGATCACTTCATCAAAAAAGTATAAAAATATTTTATGTAAAAAAGATTACTTAATTATATACTGTAGGGGTTTAAACAAAAAGAAATGTATTCAAGTGTCATATCACTTTATGTGAATGTACTAACATATGACTAATTATAAGAAATGCTAATCCTATGAACAGTTTTGTGGATTCTAACAAGAGGTATATTAAAAAACAAACCTTTATTTTATCATATAAGAAATGGTCACTAGTAAAAATTTGAACTGATCCATTTTAGAAACCTCAAAAATATGAAAGTGTAAATGCTTTTTTTTTAATTTAAAAATACCAAAAATGGATTTTTAAATTTTAATACACATTGAAAGTTGAGATTTGGGATCCTAAAATCTATTTCCTCATTTAAATTTCTACCAATTATTACAAGCATCATTATCCAAGTTAATAATAACCTATAATTTGGTTTCCTCATCTAAACAGTGATCACAATAATACTAGTGCCTGCTTCATAGAAAGTTTACAAGGGCTAAGAGGGTTAATATATCTGATGAGTTTTAGAAGAATCTCTGTTACACAGCCGTGTTATGTAAGCTGGGTTTTGAAACATTTGTTAGCATATCTTTTTTTATTCAAAGAAGAAATCTGTGATTCTTGAATGGAAGTGTGATCTAGTCATTGTGCATGTGGTAAAATTCCACAGCTAAGTGTCACCACAGGTGACACGGTTTCGAGTCATGAAAATGTTTCACCAAACTGCTGAAAACATATCATTTGCTAAAAGACTTGGATAATTAAACTAAAACACTAAAATCCTAGTGAAGATTTCAAAGCCAAAGATTTCATTTTCCAAGATTGCTAAATATTAGATTTTGTTTGAACATACAACAATCCCCACAAGGACAAGGGCACATAGGTAAAAATCACAAAAGCTTTCCACTTTAGGAAGCTGCATTCAAATTATAAGGATACATATAAGTATTGTACTTATATATTTTATTTTCTGCAGGATTTATTAGATCAAGTACACTGTAATTTAATCACTATCCTCCTTTTACCT